AATTGGGCAAAAGTTGGAGCGACGATAACATAGAGGAGTACAATGAGGCTAGAAGAAGAGCAAAGAAAGTTGTAAAGGAAGCAAGAGGAAAAGTAACAAGGAATTATACACAAAATTGGACTATAAGGAAGGAGAAAAAATATTTACTCTAGATGGTGGTGGTAGAAGCAGTAACAGCAGTGGAATTACTCTGGATGATAAGGAGATACTGATGTGTGATATGTTCCGTTACTTGAGCTCCATAGGTCTAATCTATGAACACATACTAAAGAACAAATATGCAAGTATCAAGGATAGAAATATATATACCCGATCTTATATGGTACATATAAGATTTCTTAATATTAACAGGGGGTTTAATTTCTCTAGATGAATGTGAGTTGTAACATGTCTCACACGTAATGAAAACCACATTCTCACTTAATTAACCTAACTCGGAAATATTGTAGCAACACAAAACTCATAATAACTGACAAAGAACTAGTATGTATTGAACTCTAGTAAACGTTTGGGTGAATTCCAATGCTTTGATTATTCTTATTCTTACTTTAAAGATATAATCAAAGAAAAACATTTGCACTTCATATCATTGCCATACTTTGAATTAATTATCCCAAACTTTATAATTAAATATTTCCATGTGGATCAACTCGTCATTTATTACTACAACCGACACTTGTTTACTTGCAAATTGCTAGATCATGATGTGAAGAAGATCTCTCGCGTACTCTATTAACAATTACAAGAACATCAATCACACTCCTATAAATGTTTAGTAGCCATGAAATCCAATATGGGAACCATTAATAATAATCAAGTTTCTGAGTTGCTTCATCTTCCTTGTGGTTAGAGATTGGGTGTAATTGTGCAAATGACTTCAAAAATAGACATAAATGACACCATAGATGTTTACAAGACTCGCAAAGTGAAACAAGGCTATTAATAAATTCATGGTATTCACGCACTATGATGAAACCTTCTCTCTATGATTATGAAATTGGCAAATGGATTCTAAAGGAACTTTCATTTGTAGAACCCTTAAAAAGTTAAAAGAATGTGTATATTTTACAAATCCATAAATTTTACATACAAGCAATGATAGAAGGTATGCAAGCTTTATAAAATTATTTAAGGTCACAAGAAAGGTTGAAATAATCATTTTAGTTATATTATCAAATAGTATGACTTCACGCAAAGTGAAGGAGACATTTATGTGTAAATTAAATTGAGAGAAAGTGAAATAACTTTCCTAATTTTATGAGTTGATGCGTTGGAAACAATGTTCATACGCTCTCATGTGTAAAGACATGATGTGAACATGCATGTTTCTCCACTCAAAGTTTTGATGTCTACTATGTATTAGCGTCAAGGCCTATATATAGAGATGGATCTAAAAACTAATACGACGACTAAGTCATAGTGGTGACATTGAAAAAATCCTACTTAGGTTAAGTATGAAAGACTCCTCAAGAGATCGTTTCCCTGGTTCACATGATATGTACCTCATCGAGATTCAATGTCCTCGAACCCTAGATGAGTAAGATAAATTGAGTAGATTATCACTGCCTCTGTAATAGATTCTATCATGCATACCATGTTGCATACTCATAATTTGCTCTAAGAGGGCGATTATTTGACACCGTACATATCAAGATGAGAGTCACTGAATTATGTTTAGAAGTCAGGCCATGAAATCTAATATGGAAACTGATAGAGTATATAGATTTGGACCATCGATTGTACGATTATTGGCCTGGACTGCGGCCCACACAGATGAAACCCAGAAGATGAAGATTAAAGTCATGGATCAAGAATGTTCACCTCAGCCAGGCCCCCTTAGTCTGGTCCCCTCGGCCTGGTCATCTCGGCCAGGACCTTCATCGAATAACTCTGGTCTACTTTGTACTTAGCGGGATAAACACATGTAAATAGTCCCTAGCGGCCCATTATTGTAATTGGACCTCTCAGGCCCAAGACTCGGGAGCCTGGTCCACTTTTCTCCTATAAATACTCCCTTTTGGAGCCAAAGGGTGTAAGTGTGCAAATGACTTTTCAAAAATAGAAATAAATGACACCATAGATGTTTACAAGACACGCCTAGTGAAACATGGCTATTAATAAATCCATGGTATTCACGCACTATGAAAACCTTCTCTCTATGATTATGAAATTAACAAATGGATTCTAAAGGAACTTTCATTTGTAGGAACCTTACAAGAATGTGTATTGATGGATAGTGTACCTGGGGGTAGCTTATCTGAGGCTTTATTGCGGGGAATAACCTAGAGAGAAGTCAGAGCAAGCAAGTAAGAGAGAGAAAGAGAGAGCCAAGTATATTAAATGAACTTGTTCTGGGATCCTTTACAAGAGGAATAAAGGGTGCTATTTATAGCAGCCATAAATGCGATGAGAGTACATGTGTCGACAATCTAACGGCCGAGGGGTCACCTCAATCGGGGTTGCACCGACATTCGCATGTGCACCGCATTAAATGCGGTGGGTGGATCTGACGCCGCATTAAATGTGGTGGTTGCCTGTCTCCAAAGGGAATCTTCGATGATTGCGTTGTAGCCGAAGGCTCCCCTGTGGCCGAAGGCTCTGTATAGCCGAAGGCTCTGTATAGCCGAAGGCTACCCTTATGCCGAGGGTATGAAAATGCTGAAGGCGGAAAGTAGCCGAAGGCTGCATATATGCTGAAGGCGTCCAGGAGCCGAGGGCTCCCATTTTCTGTCGTTTTCTCCCAGTAGCTTTGTATGCTCAAATCTAGCTGTTTTGTGGAATTTGGAGCTTTCGGCCATGGTGCCGAAGGCATCCCCAGGCGCACCGTGGGGTCTTTTGAGCTTGGGCCGCGGTGCTTTGGGCTTCATGCGCTTCTTGGGCCTGTTGGGCCTGTGTTGGAGTAGTAGGAGTCTGTGGGCCGGGGGTCCCTATACTCCATCATGTATATTACACAAAATAAATTTAGAAATTTTACATACAAGCAATGATAGATGGTATGCAAGCTTTATAAATTTATTTAAGGTCGCAAGCAAAGTTGAAATATTCATTTTAGTGATGTTATCAAATAGTATGACTTCGCGCAAAATGAAGGAGACATTTTCGTGTACATTAAATTTTGTGAAAGTGAAATAACTTTCCTAATTTTATCAATTGATAAGTTGGAAACAATGTTCATACACTCTCGATCATATGTAAAGACATGATGTGAACATGTTTGTCCATTCAAAGTTTTGCAACCTAACTATGTATTAGCATCAAGGTCTATATACAGAGATAGATCTAAAAACTAATGATGACTAAGTCATAGTATTGACATTGAAAAAAAAATTGACATTGAAAAAGTCCTAAATAGGTTAAGTATGAAAGACTCCTCGAGAGATCTCTTTCCTGGTTCAAATGACGTGTACCTCATCGAGATTCAATTTCCTTAGACCCGAGACGAGTGAGATATAATGAGTAGAATATCACTACCTCTACAATTGATTCTATCGTGCATACCATGTCGCATACTCATAACTTGCTCTAAGAGGGCGATTATCCAGATGAGAGACACTGAATTATGTTTATGAGCAACTTGGAGTTCTTTAGAATAACAGAGAATGTGCTTTGGGTTTATGATGATGAAAAGTGATACATTGCATGTGTTACAATAATGCTGAGTTCCAACAAAATAAAGATAAAATCAGATTAGAGTTGAGTTCTCTATGTAAAAAAAATAAGCTAGAAGTGTTTCACGCAAGGCATGGTGTATGTTTTTGTAATAGCAGGTGATATGTACTTTGACATTTCATGCTCGTTAATTAATAAAGTTCGGAACTCTTTTATAGTTCTTTTTATTTATACGATTAGTCCACAGTATGCCTAATAGATAATTGAGTACATTTGTACTGACTTGATTGTGGAATACGGAGTACTATACATTGTTGAAAACTTAGAGCCAGTTTGGTAATACGAAAATCGGCTGATTCGACTGATTCTGCTAGAACTTATGAAATTATGGCTGAAGTGGCTGCATTGGCTGATTCAAGAAAAACTTAATTTTAAAATATATTTTATTGATATAGTAAAGAAAAAATTATATGTAAAAATAGTTAAAATGGTCATCTACAGTAACTTCAGTCCATACATCCAGAAAATTAACTTTAATCTTATATTTTCTTATTATTACACAATTCAGCGCAAGAAATCAAAAATTACGTATTTGGTGAAAAAGTTGGTTGATAAGCTGAAAAACAGTGTTACCAAACGGCCTCATAATATCCTAACTCGTCCATAGTCTGATACTCGTATTATTTATATGAGACCTCAATAATTCATGCACTAATGTGCGAATTAGCTGATAATGATGTTCCACTGTTGAGATTAAAGTTGCAAGCATATTAAATACGGAGTATTATAGAAAAATATGTATGAAAGAGAGGATAAAAATAAACAACTAAGATTATAAAAATAAAAATGTTTTTTTTCATATTAGAGATATAAAGTGGAAAACAATTGTTTGAAAATAAAAAAGTGGAATATACGACAATAAGTTTGCATGAAACGAAAGTGGACCAAATAAAAATGTTTTTATGTGATATTTTGAAATTTTTGAATACTATAAAAGTTATTCACTTTTAGAGTTTTAGAAGAGGTTTGTTTAATTTGACAAGAGAATGGATATTTTCCACAGAAAATGGGAGTGAAATTTATACAATAATAATACTCCGTAATACGAATAATAATACGGGGTACTATTACTGAAGTTTCCGTCGGATTAAGACGGATAAGAGGTCAAACTGTCAGTCAAACAATTACGTGGCCTAAAAGCGAATTACAAATAAAGCCCTCATCCCATTGGGACAAGCCACGAAGTTACCCGACACGTTATTTTCACCCCGTACGTATAGCCGCCGCAAAGCACACCTTCAGACAACCACGCTTATTAACGAAACAAACACGATTCTCTAACTGTGCAATATGATGTTTAGTTTAAGATTAGAAGTTTAAGGATAGATAACTGAAAGCAAAAACAATTGATGAAATTTATTTTTCATGCAAGAATTGTATACAATTAACATCTCCACACACTACAAATGAAAGAGTACTGGATCCAAAATAGAACAAGAAATGAAGAAAAATAGTACGGAATAAGTATGGTCGTCTTACATGAGAGATTTCAAGGACCGGGCCTTGACTGGTTTCCGTACTTTCTTCTTCTTGCCATCATTGTTGTTGTCATTGTCACTGGGGAATTCGTCTTCCAAATAATCCATTTCTACTCCGTGACTGTCCATCTCCGAACCCGAAGAAGTTGCGCCGTTTATCGGCTCAAATTCTGCTGTGTTCGGGGAGCTGTAGTTCTCCTTCATTCTCCCCGGACCTCTCTTCTTGCCCCACAGCGGGCCAAATCCGGTGTAATAATATAAGTCGTACGGGTTCGATGAGACTCCCGAAGTCTTCTTCGGCCGAGGGCGGCGCCCTCGGCTTGTCGTAGCCGCAACGGACTCTTCGGGCACCGGAGGAGGAGCGGGCTGCTTATTTTCCGTCACCGGCAACACCTTGTTGCAGTGCTTGAGCAGCTCCATGTGGTGGTCGCACCAAGTGTGGCCCACTTTGGCCTCTCGTTTACACTGCCACGCCTTGCCGTCCGTCTTGCAGCACAGATTCGCGGAATGCTCTTGCTCTGCCGCGTCCCGGAAGCGGCTGCCCGGAGAGATCATGCCGGATTCAGGGCTTAGAAAAATGAAATCCCGCAATTAGGAAGGAAAATAAATCGGAAATGGCGAAACCCTAATTATTGTTATCAGGAAGCAGGAAGAAAATGTGGAAGAGAATAGACGGAAAGAGTGAAATTGAGTAGACGGCGTCAACACTAACCTGTGAACAGCTTCATTTGAACCGTCAAGGGGATAACTTCCGCATCCGTCGAACTGAAATGACGATACAAAACAACAACAATAAGAATAGTAAGAGCCAACACAAAGGGGAAAATAGGGGAAAACAGAGGAAACAGATCACAGAAATCGAGTGAAAATGCATAAAAACACGACGGAAACGGTGACATTTGGAGGCTCCCGCGAACCCTAATGGGAGTCCCATTCGAGCATATAATGCCCTAAGCGATAATAACAATAACCCAAAAGCAAAAGCGTTGATTGAAAGGGAAATAAAAAACGGGGAGAGGCGGATCTGAGGAGAGGCAGAGAGGAGAGATTGGCTGACCAGGGGAGCGTGCGGCGGCGGCGGACACGGCGTGGAGGGAGAAGGTTGTTCTCCTTCTTCAACTTGAAGAGGGAAGGTGACGACGTCCCAAGGAGACTGATTGAGTTGGCAGAGATGGGTCTGGAGCAGGGCGGAGGAGTTGAGAGAGGCGGCGGCGTACGTGAGAGGTGAGACCTTCGCATGCTTCCTTATTCTCATGCCGGAAAGCTCACTCTTTCTTTCTTTGTTTAGCCTATTTTAATTTGATTTGTTTGTTTGGCATAAAGAGCATAGATAGATAGATAGTTCACTTGCTTGACACACATATGGATAGAGATAGAGAGAGGGGGTGAATAGACTCAGTCATCCAGGCCGCTGTTAAATTTTCTTTCTGGCTATTTATAATGTTTTTATCATGTCAATACTTGTAGCAATCTTTTACGAGGAGGCCAGTGTCTGTTTTGAATTTCTACTTTCTTTTCACTTTATGTTGTTGTTGTAATAATAAAAGGTGAAACTTTGCAAGGATCTGCGCCCAGTGACAGGTAGATTGGGATTTGGGAAGCCTCACGCTCAAGTACGAAGTATTAATATGAGAAATTGTAGGGGTGGGCATAAAACCCGAATCGGTACCGAGCCGTCCCATAATGATACCGAACCGAATACCGGATATTTAAACGGTTCTATTGATTTTTGTCCCGTACCGAAACCGAACCGTTTGAAACGGGTACGGGACCGGTTCTAGATTTTGAGAACCGAAAAATACCGGACCGAACCGTTCGAAAATAACGGTTCTAGATCTCTTTTATAGACACACAATTTTAATTTATACCCCAAGTATGTATTCATGCATTCCAAACTAGCTATGTGTGTGTGTTTATATATATATTGTTATTTTTTTTAGATAATTTATGTTATATTTGGATATGTATTCAAAGAATATTAAATTTTTAGAAATCATTAAGGACTATTCATTTCTAGTAATGTAGTGTACATGACTTTTTGTGGTATCATGTTTGCGCAATTTCGCAACTTAATTAATATGGTTTAAATCTTAGCTCTCAAGGTTCAACTATAAATTAAATTAGAACTACGGAGTAATATTTAACCTAGAACGGAGAAGAAGAACATTGAAGATTTCTATTATATTCAACAATATGATGATTTTTTTTTCACATGAACTTAGTAAATTAAAGATGACATTTATCTCGTACGTCATCGTTTTGATATACTTTTTCTTAGTTGTGTTGCACTGTTTGTATATTTGTGAATTTTAGTACTACATACGTAGTATGCAATTTCTTGTATTTATATCAACATTTCATGTGAGTTGGTTGGTGTGAAGATATCTACTAATTGCAAGATTTGTTCAAATTTTTTAGCATGTGGTTGGCATTGTACCGTACCGTTTTGTACCGTTCCGAAACGGCATGGTACCGAATGGTTCCATCCTTGAAACCGGACCGTACCGGACCGTTAAAAGCCTAATGGATACATTACGGGTTTTACTAGTTTACCGGACCGTTCCGGACCGCGCCCACCCCTAAGAAATTGTACTATCATACTCGCACGGGTAGCTCAATTGGTCGAGTGGTGGAAAATTTGGAATAATGGTCAAAGCTTGAAATCCACAGCGGTCGTGTGGATATTACAGCTTTTGCGTGTTGGACTGAACTTCTAGTGCGCATGAGTATAAGGTCTACCATCTTGTTGGATCGGGGTATGGGGGCTAATGGGATGTGAGATTCCACCTTTTGGAACGAAGAAATTGTCCTAAAACTAAACCTAAATATAAACCTGAATTTTTTACGCCTAATATATAATTAATATAATTAATTGTACTCTAATTTACTTGCACAATCAAGGTCACTACATTGGTGACAGAACGTGGTCGTGACATCCCGACAATAGGCGGTGGCCAAGTTCCGACGCCTGGCGGCGGCAGCCCAAACCCCTACAAGGTGTATTTTGTCCTCACACAAATTCCTATTTAAGGAATTTAAAACAATAATTCTTTTTTTGTATTTGGACCATATTTTACTCTTATTTTGAAAATTCACTCTTAAAATACCTTCAATTTAATACCCATACATCTCTTTCTCATCTTATTAATAGCTTCGCCTTTGACTTTATGTAAATAAATAAACAAACTAGCAAAGTAAAATTTATAAGATAAAGAATTGTTTGTAAAGTAAACATACTCCTCTATGTCATAAATAAGGGCAAGGTTCACTTGGAAGTGAGATACTACGTAGTAAAGTAGAAATTTGTGATCGAGATTTGTACAAATGAGAAAATTTTAACCTATGTGATTTATTTTTAAAAAATCACAATTTTTTTAAGAAAAATGTTCATAAATTTTTATTCGACCATGAAAAAACAACTTGTTGTAGAGCCGAAAAAAATCCAGCTTGAAAGCCCCAAACAACTCCCGTATAATAAACGTATGAACATAATAATATGAAAGTTGACATCTCCGGGTCACCATTATTAAAAGTCTGAAACTTTTTAAAAATAATCATCTCGGGGAGTTCAAAATATTTTTTGGAGGCCGAAATTATTTTTTGAGGGGATAAAACTTATTTTTCATATATGTATATATACACTAAAAAATTATTGGGGAAGCGGTAGCCCCCTTGAGTCTCTACTACGGTCCGCCCCTGATTGATGGGTTCATTTTCAATGAACGTTCAAGCACCCAAGAGAGTACAAGGGGTCTAATTCTAAACATGCAAAACTCAAAATTTCTACTTTTTTGTTGGGGAACATTATCATATTTTATTAATAAATTTAAAAGGTAAAATAGAGAGGGGGCTAGACCAAGGCCTCTACAAAATTCAAGTGATAAACATTCAAGTTATAAATAGATTAATGAAAAAATACATTGAAGAAATTAAAACAAGACTACTAATTAATACGCATATCTGGACAACCATAAAGATCTAACATATAAATCCCCCTTATTCGGTTAGGAAACTAAGAGGCGTGAAAGAAGATAGTACAATTTCCAAATGAAGGAAAAACTTGAGAACGCAGATGAGTGAGGATCGGGATCCTCTGAAATAAGGTAGAGTGCATTGCGGCATCCGGCAGCGGGAAAACGACGAAGAGGACCTTGAGATCGGTGAAGGGGTGGAGCCCAAGATCTTCGGTCGTCCAATTTCCAATTTCAGACATTCTGCCTTGCTTTGAAGCAAGGCAGAGGCTCCGCACCCAATGAGCGACCTGATTAGTTTCCATGTAATAGTGTCTGTATGAAATATCATCCGCACTTATTGCCTTTTGTCGAAGGAAAAGAGTCAAGTACTATAGAAGCTTGGGGCCTCTGCCATTGCGGAGCATCGAGATAAAGGCAAATGAATCAAATTTCAACTTCAATATTGAAAAACCCAACTTGAATTGCCATGTTAACACCCACAAAAGTGGCAAACATTTTTGGAAATCAATTAATTAGTTAATAAGCTTAATTTTACAAACATAAATACGATAGAAATGGCTTGAGAAACTAAAGTTTATATTGTTTGTGTTTGTAAGCAATTTGGTCAGTGGCTCTGACCTGGTTCCTTGCACATACCTCTGAATAGTTCTCTCCTCTCAATACAAACCATGTGCGTGTGTGAGTTTTTTTATCTAGCAAGCCAGCAACATCTATGGTGATCGAATAGATTTAATTCCAACAAATTGGTATCAGATCCGCCTATTCTGATCAATCGTGATGATGTTCGGTAACATGTTTGGACTCCCGGTACTCAAACTTGAGAAGGGCTAGTACGATCGGTGGAGTATACAGATGAAAACACTACTATTGCTGAGAAAGGATTTGAAGAGCCAGTCGAGGATGCTGGACAAACCAATGCACAACGGAATGGAAGGAGGCCAAACAACGAGACAAGATGGCACTTCATTGGATATTTCAGGGACTGGATGCATCCGGATTTGAAAAAATTGCGGATTCTGAAACCTCGTAGAAAGCCTGAGACACGTTGGAGAAGATCTATTGAGGAGTAGACCGGGTGAAACAAGTCTGGTTAGAGATCATTCGGGAGAACTGGAATCCACACTAATGAAAGAGACTGAGTCAGTAGGCGAATACATCGGACGTATTGCCGAAATTGAGAATAAGATGAAATGAAACGGCGAGGTTGTGAACGAGAGTAGACTAGTCGAGAAGATCCTGAGAACCATAACCGATTTGTATGAATGAATTGTTTGTGCCATCGAGGAGGCGAAAATATTGGAAGATATGACTCTGGAAGAGCTCACACGGTCATTGGATGTGCATTAGCTGTAACACCATCCAAGTATATCTACTTATAGTAAATTATGTATTGAACATTGAGAAATAATGAATGAATTTACGAGGTTGCAAAGTTTTGTTATTACTTTTGTGTGAGTAAATGCACGTGGGGCCCACACCGGGAGTGGGGACCACCCGATATTTCAGGGACCACATATTATATTCATCTTGGTTTAGATAATATTTATATAGTGGTGAATATTCATGTTAGGCCATAGAAAAGACATAGAATTGACCAGTTGGTCAAACGAGACCCAATTATTGGTATTGTTAATGTGTCGATTAAAAGCATGAAATGATTTCCAGGAACATGTAAATTAAAGTTGGGAACATACGTTCATTCTAAAGGCTCATATCGATTGGGGATATGATACATATTTTATTTGGCACGATAAAATAAAATATAATTATAACAATCCGAGAAATACAACTTTGGGGACCAAATGTACACTTGAGGGCTTAAAGGCATGACCTCCCACATAAGTGGGGGCCACCCCACAATTTTGGTCACACAAATCAAGAGTTGGTGCGGGTGAAATGAGAGGACGGAGATGAGGAAATGTTGGTTGAGTTGAAAGGCATCTAAGAGAACAAAGGTGGACATCCCATCACACACCTATTGGTCTATTGAGACAAAAGAGCCAACTTCAACCTCCCTCTCCATTATTTTCGGCCAACCCACCACAAACAAGAGAGGAAGCTCTGCAAATAAATCTTCACCATTGTTGAGAACAATTCAAGCAAGGAGGGAGCTCAAGGAAAGAGTTAAGTGGCTAAAAGTGTAGAAAAGGTTGAGAAATTAAGGTAATGACTTCATTAACCTTTTATTCTCCTTTTCTTGAATATCATATTGTTTTGGAATCATGTGAGGACCCTGGGATTGTTCTAATTGTTTAGAAGTTTAGAATGAGGGGTTGGAAGACAGTTCTAAGTCCAAGAACGGACTTAGAAGCCAAAGTGACCGGTTCATCGGAAATAACATTTTAGAGGTTATTTGTGTTGATATGGGTTTTGTGATGATGAAACCTTGTTAGGAACTTATATAAGGTGTTCTTAGTGCTTTGTCGGAGTTTCATCGGAGTTCCACAAAGTTTGCCAGAGTTTCGCCGGAGTTCAACCGAGAAGGGTAGAACATGTAAAGCTCATTTGTAATGTC